TGCAGAATAGATTCGTTTCTCTAAGTCTTTCTACCAATATGATCATGTTGCGAAAACAAGGTCAAACAACCTCTAAATGTTGGTATGTTTTTTTTAATTTCTCAAAGACAAACACATCACATGGCAACAAGTACGTCTTCCCTATACCTTAGCAGCATGCATGTCGAATGAGTGCACTGACTGACGATTTTGTGGTACCCCACATCTGTCTGTACCTGATCATCTTTTGGCTGTTTACTTCCAAGTCACTGGGAAATTGGCTCCGCCCCTACACAACTTTAACTCCCAATCGCTCACACAACTGCCCGGCTGACTGTCTGACTGGCCCACTTACTGAATGACTGACCAACCATGTGATTTGAGGAACGAGATTTTACATGATTGGCATAACGACTGGGCCTTCGAGTGAACCCTTTTTGGCTCCCTACCAGCAATACAATTGCACATTGGATCCTGGCGCATAGTGCAAAGAGCATTAGCCCAAAATGGTTCTCCCCGCTGGAGGCATTTTTCCCACTGTTTGTTAAACAATTTCAGTCTTCATCAGCACTTGTGCCACACGTCCATCATAGCTTGGTTCTGGCTTATGCTTGTCTTAAACACTGCATGAACATGAATGTCTACGGCTGCACTAGTTCACAACACAATTCATCTCGTTTCACGAGCCTTGACGAAAAGTATTTTCCCGTGCTCGGGGGCACAACCACTCGAAAGTTTACAATCGAGAGAATCAAGTGCCCTGTCTCCTCAACGCCTTGTTTGACTTCTGCAGGCGAATGGAGGCAAAGTGGGACCTGCAAAACTGAATCTGATAAAGCGGAGCTCAAAAAGTGCTGTTCACATGTTTGGTTGCTTTTTGTCGGATAGTCGAAAAAAGCTCGGTTTCGAGATGGCCCCAAGTTGTTTTCATGCCGATAGAACGTTGACTTTGCATGAAAAGTGCATGCGAGTCGAAGTCAGTCTCTCTGGCGTGTTCGGGTCGTGAGGGTAGGTGTCTGCGTGAAACTCGTCGGTCTACCGAAAAATTCGACCTCGAGCCAGTCGTGCTGAGGCTGGATCTGTCCCGCTACGGCACAAGTCGCCGGGGACCGAAGCCAGGCGACCGTGCTTGGCCTCGTCTTTACGGAATCATTTGTCAATCCGATGCGTGCACGGCGAAGCATCCGCATGAAGGGTTCGAGATAGGCTGAATCAAATCGACAGTCACGAGACCGGTGGAACCAAAATATTGGTCAATTGGTACAACATTCAAGGGTTGGCAGACAAGGGACATGGTATGACAGATGGAAATAGGAAAGACGCGGTGGAGACTAAAGCTATTTGGCTAACAATAGACGTGTTTGAGCATAAACGTGATCCTTCAATCACGAATATTGTCAGCCAACTAGTTCAAGCTTCCACGGTTTCTATCCTCTTTCTATCTCGAATACCAAGTCTACGACTTAACCTATGCCCTAGCCTCTTGTGTGCCAACCAACAAATGTTGCGGTACAGTTTGGTTCAATGTTGAAGTTGTCTCCTCTTTGCTTCTGGTTCTTCCTTTCGCGTCCCCTTGCGATCCCTTTTCCTAAAATTAAGGATGTTTCCTTGATCCAGACGTCTTCTTCTTGCTGATCTCCTCCGAGTTTGTTTAGGCAATATGCAGAGTTTTCGCTGATCCTGCCTTCTTCAAGTCTCCTGTTCATTCGATTTCTCTCGGTCACTATTTCGATGGTCTCTCGGATCTTGTGTTTTCTCGTATTTCCACCAAATGCAGCCAACCTTTCTGTCGATTTCCAGTTGATTTCGTGCCCCATTCGTGCAATGTGTTCCGCTATTTCTTATCTTTGTGTATCCGTGTTCCTGCATAGTTTTTGATGTTCCTTGATTCGTAGGCCAATTTTTCTTCCTGTTTCACCAACATACTTCTGCTCACAGTTGCCGCATTTGATGCGATAAACTAACGAGCAATCAAGTTTGTCCGTCCTCTCGTGTTGCGTCGACAGACTGGTGAAAAGTGTTTTCTTCTTTGGTATCACCCCGATATTCCATTTCCTTAGTAACGGTCGCAATTGTTGACTCAGTTGTGATGAGGGCAGGCAAATCTACTTTTGGTTGTCATCCTGATTCCTGATCTGATTTTCATAAAATCCAAGTTTAATTCGGTCCTTTATAATTTACATTTTTTCCATAAATGCTCTGGGGTATCCGTTACTAAGGCAAATCCGTGTCAGTTTGTCCGACTCGTCCCAGAACTCATTGTCCGTTAGTCGTAAGCTTTTGATGATCAAACTCCTCAGCATTCCGATCTTCAGTTGGTAGTTATGGTGAGACTGCAAATTAAGGATTATTCCCGCATATGAATTCTTTCTGTATCGTCTTCTCGAGAGTCTCTCTTTGGAGCGCATGACTTCAATATACAGAAAGGGTAGTCGTTCATCCTCCTCCACCTCCAATGTAAGCTTAATTCTTTCATCAAGTCGGTTAATAAAATTAAGGAACTCGTTTAAATTTTTCTTACCATGTGACCAAAGTGCAAAGTAGTCCTCCAAGTATCGCATGAGCACTCTTGGTTGCATTGTTGACTTCTTAAATTCCCTTTCCAACTTGTCTAACAAGTGGTACAGCTTGGTTCAATGTTGAAGACGTCTCCTCTTTGCTTCTGATTCTTCCTTTCTCATCCCCTTGCCAAAAGGGGTGAGAGTGGAGATCCCATCGGTAGCTCAAATATTTGCTCGTAGATACCGCCGTCGAATGTGAAATATGTTGTCATAACTGTCAAGTTGATTAGTCGTGTTAACGACTCCTTCCGTATCCGTTCTG